CAAGGTATGTGCTTCTAGGTACTAAGCAACACAACCACAACATACCAAAGTAGTAAAACAGCCATGAAAATAAGTGTTCCCTCCGCGACATGTCTCTGAAAATATGTCAGAAGTTGCAAACGTACAAAAATAATGAGTATAGTTTAGTGGCTATAAAAATTAACCTCCCCTAAAAATACAATACTCTATGAACAATTTTGGGAATCTGTTCTTCAAACAAAAACATCATTTGATATTTACCAAGACTGCAATCTTAACCTGGCAAGAGGAAACTGGAAGAAGAGCAGGAAAACAAAAAGGTTTAACACTTAAAATAACCAACGTTAAGTTTCCCCTGAAAAGAGAAGATATTCAGGAAAAGACGACAGGCATCCAGGAAACTGCTAGTGGTTTTAGGAGTGCGGCTTGTAAAAAAAAAAAGACAACTGGGATCAGCGGTGAAGGAAACAAGTTTCAGTGTTACAGGGAACCTTTTAGTGGGGGGAGTCTGTGTTTGTGCTGCAGCTTTATAAACAGTCCAACTAAAGGAGGTGGTTTCCATACAGTCATACAGCACTCTGGCAGGTAGGAAGGGGAAGGTAGCAAGAAAAACAACAATTATCCAAAAAGAATGTGTTTATAGTAAAATTGTGTCTGGTGATTCAAGAGAAGGGGGACTGGGGCAAGAAACAAAAAGGAACAATCTTGAAAGGTAAGTAAAGTCCATAGCAGCAAATAGGTATCCTTACCTGTTAAGTGAGTGTCAGGGAGACTGGGAGTGTATTCAGTTCCTAAATACTGAATAAGGACAGTGCTCCTCTACATCTTAAAGTAAAAGCAAAGGTTCAAAGCTCTACATTGCATAGTAAGCAGTAAAAGAAACTTGATACTTGCAGACGGGCCAGCAGCCCCTGGAAACCTGCCTTCTCCCTTCACCCACCATTTCTATTTTCTACTTGCGTGATAAACTTCTATCCCTGACATGAATTTGAAAGACTTGAAAAACTATTTCTGCAAACAGAATGTATCCACACCATCTAAACAGCGTCCACACTGGCAACTGATGAACTTAGCAGAGTTTGCCCCATCCCGCCTCGAGGTAGATGACCTCCTGAAGTTACCACCCAAATCACTGACACGGTCTAATACACACACTGGGAGCTGAAAAACACCACAAACCATAGAATTAAAGGACTCTTAATCCACTGGAAGGTGTCAGCCAGCACTGGGAGCCCAGCCTGGTTTAACCCCACCAGCGCTTTCCGCTCCCAACAACAACAAAGCTGAAGGTTTTTGTCTCAAAGAGCTCATGACACTTACAGGTCCCTCCGTAATATGGGTGTAGAGCAGTGCAGGGTTTGTTCAGGGTTCGTTTCTCTGGGTTTTATTTGGGGGGTGAGGGGGTGTGTCCTCCCCCTTCACCCCAACAAATGCACTATTTTAGAAACACATTCACTAGATGCAGATTCCATTGGTACAACGTGGCAACTTCCGTTTAGTATTTCAATGTGCCCTTACTTCAAGAGTGTAAACACACATCAACTTCTGGTCCCACATCTTTTTCAAGCAAAAAAAAAAGCAATTAAAAGCTGCAAATATCAACAGCATAGGGATACTAAATCCCAAACACTGCATACATATCTTTCATGTTCTTATTTTCAAGTGTTGTATATTTAAACAATGTGTTCATACAGCTGTCAGGCAAATCATGATCTCCAAGCTTTTATTACATGCCTAGAAACTATTCTGTAAAAGTGTTTTCTACTGCCAGGTACTAAATACAAAAAATAAGCTATCCATGAAAGACTGATTTTTTTAAACTTTTTTTTTTTTTACATAATACATTCTCATTCTGATTGGCTGAACTGCAGCAGATGCCTCCGAATTTCTAGAACTGGCTATTTTTTTTAAAAAAAGAGAAAGAAAAGAAAAAAGCAGCAACTTTCCAGAGCAGAAACATGCCAAAAATGGTAACTGCTGCACTGGTATCACTCCAAGCAAATCCTCACTTCTAAATATTTTTCTTTCCAGTTTCTTGCTGGTACACGACACCAAACCAGTGAGACAGCTTTAAATCTAATAGAGGATAACTCTTATTTAGCACCTTGGAGCAGGCTTCTGCCATTCTCACCCTCGTGTCCTGCTGCGCTGTGATAACAGAAGCGCTGTCACTGGTGAAAAGGCTCCTCTCCAGGAAGCATTATCAGCACAGGGAACACGCACACGCAGCCTCCGACTTCAACTCAGCCAAGTGGTTTTCATTGGAAAGTTTATGGGATTTTTTAGTATCAAACTGCATCTGCAGTGCTCTTCACGCCTCTGTAGCTGGAAATTTTCAGTCATTAAACCTGTCTCAGCTAGAAGCACGCATAAAAGGCTGTGTGTGTGTGTAAGATCACGATCTTAAATTCAGCTTCCTGCATGACTGGAGTCTGTTTAAAACCTTGCAGTTCCTATTTGGCAGTTAAGCTGATTTTGCATAGTCAGGTGGACGCCGACCGCTCCCGTAACTCTGATAAAATGATGGTCTTGTGCGTTACTCAGTCCTGAACTAAGAGAGCCCTCCAAGCCTGCACCCAAAAGCCAGCACTGCCATCCTACTGCCCCCAAAATGATGTCCAGACCAGATGTCAGCTCTGCTACTCTGTTAAAAACCACCTTGGAGCCAAAAAGACCTCACAAACGATGCGCACAGACTGCAGAAGCGCACGGCACTACCAACGGCAGGACTGACAAAAGCAGCGGGGTGAACACTGCCGTCGTGGATGACTTGCCAAAGGAAAGGAAATTGCACTCCTGCTTCTTGTTCGCTTTTGCTTCTAATTCTCTTATGCCTTGTGCATATTTTTCCAACCTCCAACTCCCTGAAGAGGTAACAGACACTGAATATCTCCTCTCTTTTCCTCCCACATGTGTGTACACACACAGGAGAGTCAAGATCCTTACTGGCTGAGAAGGGATAAGACCTTACTCCACCTTTTTTAAACGAGGAGTTTGTTAAAACATTTCAGGGAAAGCTCTCTTTGCATCACCAGCTTGACTCCATGTGGATTGTGGCAACTCCAATCCAATCCCAACACATGCTGTTCAAAAAAAACCACAATAGGACCACAGAAGTCCTTTCCTTTGACATCCACACATTGAGAAAACTTGGTAATTCTGTATGACATAAAAAAAGCTGAAACATGAGGATAACTGAAAACTTCTCTTGTCCTTTGAGCAGACTATCATGGGCAAAGACATTGTTCTGCAAATGAGCCAAACTCGTTCTACACTTTCTTCAACTGTAATGAAGCTCTGAATGAAACCAAGGACTGTCTTAATTACAAATGCTGAACTACAGGTGTTTTACAAGCGCTGAACTACAGGTGTTTAACAAGCAGCCTCTCTATCGAACATTATTGCAGCCAAACCTAAATTCAGTATGAACAGCACTTCATGACCATGCTTCACCACACAACACTCCATGTTTCCATCGCTAAATAAGAAGCGGTGGAAAGAGCACACAATGCCAGCTTCTAGCTCAATATTAGATTTCTCAATTGTTCTCAAGTCTGTTGGGGGGTGCAGGAAGAGAGACAGAAGAGTTAACAAAACACTAAATCGCTTCTCCAGGAAGCAGTCTAAGCAGACTAGGAAATTTAACTCCATTGAAGATAACATAGTTCTTAAAATAACCTTCAAGTGCTTCTGAAAGATATCATTTTAACTCAGAAGTAGTGATTCTAGTCTCCCAAATGAGCATATGTTTATTACTGTGCTTAAGTGTTTATTAGATGGCTATACCAATGGCCACTTACATATTTCACAGGCTGCTGCACAGTATTTTCCACTTTTATCAGCAATTTCAGTCAGGCAAAGGCGCACAAAATGTAAGCTCAACTTTTCTGTCGCACGCTAACCTTGGCTTCACCTGTAAATTTCAGAGGTTCAAGAGTCAGTCCAGTATACACCAGTCAGTTAAGGTCTTCTTCATGTTATTCACGTCTATAAATGGTGTTTTTGCAGAGTCACCATCTAACAAAGCCTGGCAACAGTGATCAGCGATATTAGTGATAAACAGATATTAGTGGTATCATGGGATAGCACATTGCAGAACCTAATCCCGATTTATCTGAATCAAAAATACAACAACTTTGACAAGAACCATAAATGAACACGAGAACTAGTCATACGGGCTTCTGCAGTGGGAAACCTGACTGATACAGTCGCAGCAGAAATTTCCAGGTCATTGTCTGTGGATCACCCCAGAGGTTAACTTCTCACAGGTGATGCTCATTGCTGGTTTGAGAAAACACAAGGCCAGAGAGGCAAAGACACTAACCCAAGTAGGGGAAGGCCACATTTTGCTTAGGTTTTCTCAGAAACAAGAGATGTACTTAAATTACAAACCACTAAAAATTCACCAGCTTGTTCCTACTACTTTTCCCAACTGCTGTAGTTCCTTGGAGATGGGCTGTGACTGTAAATGGGGGAGAACACCACCACACTAATGGAAATATAAAGTAGTCTATGAAATTCCCTCCAAGATATGTTTCCTACCACAGAAAACACTGGCCACCAGAGCTCCTCCACAGAGCCAGGCTTTTTGTTCATAACTTACAAACAGGATTTCACCAGTTATTGTTCAAGTTGGATTTTTCTTATTATTACCCCAGTGCATTTGTTTTGTATTGAATATTCTTCCTAACTGCATTTGTGCAAACTAACTGGTCATTTGGCAAACGCTGGGAAACTTAACAAAAGTGACTGACCCAAGTTGATGTTTCCCTGTTGAAAAAAAATAAGAGCAACTACAAAAAGACAAAACCAATGGCAACAGACATGTAACTACTTGCTAAGCACAGGTTCTTTGTAATATTGACGCCACCTTCATTGTTTCCCTTTAGCGACTAGAACTTCACCATCACTTTCCTTTATAAGAAATATCTAGTTCTGAAAAATTCTATATTAATCTCTAAAAAAATAAGACAAATATTTGTATTAAAAGCTGGAGATCATTGATTTCAGAAAGTTATGGCTTTTTTTAGTGTAAGTATATATATATATATTTTTCTAAAACTAGTATCAGTAAGTGTCCTGGGTGTTAGTTCATATTTTCTGTTTCCAGCAATGTTCAGTATTGTATGTGCTTTGCACCTCAGAAGTGAGTCTGCCAAGGCACTTAGAGAATGTAAGCAAGTCTTTTAGGGACTTCATGAGAATGGGCTACCACTGACACAACACAAGAACCCATCCACCAGCAGAGTCAATCCCCCAACAAAGCACGTTTCCTTTATCAACACTCAGCATCTGCTAAAATTCCACAATGAGTAACATCAACCAAAAAAAAAAACCAACAAAAAAAGCTATTTATCGCGTGTCACTAACAGATAGAAGATTTTCCCTAATAAAAGCACAGAAAGTAGATCTTGGCTGTCATTAGTAACAGCACAGGTTTTTGTTTTGTTTTTTTTTTTAAAAAACACAAATTAACAAAAAAAACAAACAAATACCACACGCTTGCTTAAAGAAATAAGTGACTCCAAAAAATCCTCTTCCTTTTATCTGTCCTTAGAGGTGAGTTTTTCAATCAGTTCTTGAAGCGGTGCAAGTTCTCTTCTATCAATAAGGTTGAATTCCTGTAACAAGGATGAGGAGAAAGACATAGATACAGAGTTCTGTATGTGCAGCTCAGGTGAGAATTCAGACACAGTTACTGGGCAGTAGGCTCTTCGAGTCCAGCTTAGCCACTTGCTTAGCCATTTTCTGCCGCTAGCTGAATAGCAGTATTCAACTGCCTAAAGCTTCTTCCCCCACTTCCAGGAAGGAAATGTAAGAAGATGTTCTTTCTTTTTTTATAAGGGGAGGAGGGGAATGCAGCTTTGAAGCAAGCACGCTCTTTTCAACCTAGCTTCAGAAGCTGTCCTCCTTTTGTTGGGAACTACTCTTCTACTGAATTATTTGGTAAGGAACATGTTTTGGTCTTAGTTTTTGTAGCAAACAAATACTTCATTGAAACTTTTCCATTCCTTCATGCTATCAGTAAATATACATAAAAATTAAGTAAGACACCATCTTTGTACCCTGGAGGTGTTGACTCTCCTACAAACACACCAGCTGTTAAGAAACTAGAGGGGTGTTGCCTTGATACATTCCTTTTTCCAGAAAATAACTGTAACCATAATGCTCCTGTCAGGCTTACCTGAACAAAAAATATAAAGTGCTTGAAAGAAGTGTTAAGGTGTGCCTCTTCCTGGAGCTGGATCACTGGATCAAAGTGCTGGTGATAAATGTGAGCATAAACTCTGAAGAGACGCTTTAAAATCGTCTTTGCCACCGACATGAAATTCTTTGGGAACGGTACACCTAGAAATAAGAAAACAGACGGCTTATTTTAAACACCCATGCCATGGTCATGTATTTTGAAAGCCATTATAACCCAACTCTATTTCTTGCACAAGAAGGGCAGTTCCTTTCCACTCAGCAATTCCATCTGTAAAACACACAATGTGTTTTGGTTGAAGCACAATGACAAGCTCATTGAAAGACCAGAGGGGAGGTTTCCCTCCCTTCAGTAGACCAGCTCAGGAACTTTTCCCAAGACAAATCTGACTACATTTCTATGCTGAACTCTCCTAACTTCAGCTTCCAGCTACTAAATCTTGTTGTGCCTCAGTACAGTTCCCTGAAGAACCTTCTCTGACCGAGGATCCTCCTCCCTCTGGTAAGATTCAGATACCCAAACATCTAAGGTGCTTATAGATGCCCTCTCAGTACCTGCCTGGCCTCTAACTGCCAACGCAGAAAAGCCAAAGTCTCCTGCAGGCTTTGCATCTCACCAATGCCTCTGTGCACATGTCCAGGACACCACAGGGTACCCCAAGGGACACCAGATACCTCTGTGTAGGTAATTTGAGTTACCACCTTTGGTATCAGCCATCGAGTTTTTATACTTCTCTTGGCTAAAGTGAAATCAGAAATAGGTTCTCTTCCACCTGTCTCACACCCAACAAAAAGGCTCCTGGTTCCATCCTGCTCATCACCATCCCATAGCCAGAGGCTACTGTTTTCTGAGCTACCTGCTTAAGTACTCTGAAATATGTTCCTTTCAGTCATTTCCATGAAAATGACATAGGACAGGTAAAATCAGTTTCAAGAGCAGATCTTTGTCAGCGCACAGGTTTTATTAAAATTGGTTAGGAAACAGCAACCAGCAGCTATTGGGAACAGTCACCTCTTCAGCTGACACATCTGCAGGCTTAAAAAAAAAAATTTTAAAAAAGGGATGTATCAACCATCTGAAAAGATTAAACCTGTCTAGCTTCTCATCACATAGCAGCCTTCCCAGTCACCTTAGTTCTTTTGCAGTCTTTCCAGTTGCTGAAGTCCTGTCTGAAGGCCCAAGGCACAACCTGCATGTTGTAAGGCCAATTAGGATCTCACCAATGCTTTCAAACCCTAGCAATATAATTTTCATACTTCATTTTGCCCTGCTTGCACTAACATCACATTTCCTTCACTGGCTGCTGCATCGCACAGGAAGTTCAGATTTAGTTGCTTATCCATTGTGGCCATTAAGTATCTTTCTGAATTGCTACCTTTAAAAAAAGACATCCTATTGAAACATGAAGAGAGTCCTAAAAAGTATAACCTCCAGTTAAAGAAAGCCCAAGTCCTGATGAGGTCTTTTGAACAGAACTTTAATATTAACTGTAATATTTAATATCATTCCTATTAGTAGTGGACTTCTGCTCTGAACTCTACTCTGAAGTGAATGCCACCATATGAGAAAAAACCATGCTCACATCTACTGAGCAGGGAAGATTTGGGTTTTTATCACTTCTTCCCAAAGTAACCAGCCTTCTCTGCATATCTGCTTAACGGTAAGTAAAAACCAATGCCACTTGATTCTGACAGGTGGCCCTGTTTCTCTGAAAAGGCTTATTGAAAATGTGTCAAATGCTTCAGAAACTAGTCACAAAATAAAGGCAATTAAGAGATCTCCCTTCCTTTTTCCACAATGGATCATAAGCCCACAAGTAGTGGTGTGCTGGTAAACTGCCAATTAGCAGCTTCAGAACAAATAGTTCTCTGTGCCTCTAGAAAGAGGGTTTTCTTCTTGTTATCATTTCCAAACTGGTGGTTGTTCATTATTTTCCTCCTGTTTTTTTTCCTCAAAGAAACCCTTTAAAAACACACATCTTTAAGTTTCACTTGAAAAGAAAAAAAACAAAACAAAACAAACTTAAGGTCAACGATGCAATTCAGCTTCACTGGAAGTAAGGCCTAGGAGAAGTTCCTCATGAGGACTAAACATCTTTCCTGCAACAAAAAGCTGCCAGTTTGCACCAGCTACTGGTTATATGGTTTTGAGACCCTCTGCCTTATTTCTAAGGAAACAACCCACTGCTCAGAATGAAAAAGAAACATCAGATTTGATCAATACAGTCAAGTTATTAAACAGAAACAGTACTTTTCGCATTCAGAATTGTGAGAGATGTTTATTAGGAGTATTAACATATGGATCAGAGTTCATGTACCACCACATAAAATTTATCTTAAGAGATAAAAGGGCTTTTATATAAATAATGTAACCTTTTAAAGTTGCCCTACTCTGATACCAGTCACTTAGGAAGCCTTTTAATGCTACAAGACTACAAGAATATTCCTGTACAACTGTAATCCAAACACATGGTTCAATTTTACTTATTTACTTTACCTATTTTAGAAGGAAATAGCGTTTCATCATCCAGCTGATCCTGGACCCAAGTCATCAGGTAATCAATGTACTTTGGTGCAGAGCACTTAATTGGTTTCTTTATGTTTGTCCCATCTGCCCAGTGGTACTCATATCTGGGTTGGGACGACAACAACAAGACATTTCTTAACACAAGTGAATTATTCACATCAAGGCCTGGAAGGCTGCTCTTCCTGCTGCTCTCCCCATACTCCCACACCCTCCCACAGCCCTTCCTTCAAACTAAGCTCCAAATGCTCCCGAGTCATCTGCAGCTGCTCCGTACCCACTCTCCCCACTGCAATCCTGCTTCAGCTGGACTCTCTTCTGCAGTCTATCAAGGCCTTCAAATATTTCATCCTTTATAGCACAACTCATTCATTCTTGGTTGCAAACGCTCCTTCCAAAGCTTCAAACCTGCATCCCTGTACATCAAGAAGTGCTCTACGAGGAGGTTTCCCAACCCCCAAAAGGCCAAGAGATATTTACTCATTTTTAAAGCTTTTTACTTCCCTTCCCACCCCCAAAGAAAAACATCACAGCCTGTTGAAGTGAAACATCAAAAAGTTCCATGAGATTCTCACACAAATAGAAGTTAAGCTCCAGGGCTCAAATCGAGGAAGGCACCTGACTGATTCCTAATGTGAAATTTCACACGACCAGCCCTAGCAATGGGCTTCCCTTCACCTCCACTGGCAGAGAAGAACTGCCAAGCGAGTAGCAACGCCCAACATCTGCAGCAGCTGCCAGCCAGACACATTAAACACTAAAATTTATGGAATTACTTTACATTTGAAAATATTCTTATAGATTTTGCATACTGACAACCTAGCTACACTGCCTCTTGTGAGAGATCCCAGATGATGACTGTACTAGAGACATGGAAGAGATTCAGAGGTAGGTTAATGCCAAGGAATACTACTGCAAAACTGGAAGCTGCTATAAAGTCCCTTTCAGCCAATGGCTAGAAGAAAGACACTAGACTTAAATAGTCCTTGTTAGAGATAGGTTCATATCTGAAGGTCTACTGCCACCATGCAGCACACCAAGATTCAGAAAAATCTCCATTTCCAGTCACACCACTGACTCACTTGATAGACACAGACCAGTAACTGCCTTTTAGCTTCATTTTTCCAGCTGTAGGTAAGGTGGCATCACACCTTTACAAACCACTGACATGACTATGGAACAGTAAAAACATGTGCTCCTTTTAGCCTTTTCCATTCACAGAACTGGTAATGTTGACATCTTTTATGGAGCACATTTAATGAGTTGATGCCAGTATCATTCATTTTACAGTTATCATTTTAACTCTAGGAATTTAAAAAGCCATGGAAAAAAAATGTATTAAACAGCATCCATTCACATGCACAAGAGAGAAACAAGTCCTCATGAAATCAGAATAGAACAGGTATTTTGACTGGCTTGGGGAATGCACTTGACACCAATCCAGGCACAGGAGCAGATGGCTAATCTTGGGAACATATAGCTAAAAAATACCCCAAAAAAACAAGCATATTTAACATTCAGAGCCTGACAATACCCGCTTTCAACTGCACCACAGTGTTTCTTCCTATGTCTTGCTGAGTACAAATACATATATCATAATATTCCTTGCCAATCCCTAACATCTGAACACTTAATTCTCATCAGCACAGCCCTCTCTTGTAGATCCCAACACAGCATCATCTCCCACGTCCGTTTTAGAAGGGCCAGCCTTGCTCAGCCGACCAGCACTGCTGCGGAACGCCTGTCCGCGGGGCGAGCCTGATGCCAAGCCAGAAGCAAAAAGCTGCTGAGCTCTGCAGCTCTGAAATCTTCAGAGAGAAACTAATGAGCGATGACTCTGACAAGCTGCAACACTCCCCTTTTAAAAATTTAAATCAAAAAACCCCAAACAAACTAAATATCCAAGGGTAGTGATGTCAGCTCAGTCATGCTTTCACAGTAAACAGACCCACTTCATCTACAAGTTTTATCTCTTAATTTTTAGAAGAATTAGAAGAAATGTTATTAATTGTTAATATTTTTTCTTTTCATGGAGGACAGCGTGCTCAATTTGATTGCTATTTCATAGTACAGCAGTAGCATTCCGCAGTGTTTGGGCCGCAGCCACCACCATTTAAACTCTCCCTTGCCATCTCAATTACTATTGTACAGACACTGAAGAAGATCTTCTATTTTAAAGATAATATGCATCATTTTATGCAAAGCTTAACCGTATCTGATAAATCTGGCTTCTAATTCCGTTTAACAAATTCAGTTTTGTCAGAACCAACTGGGAGAACGTTTCCACGATAAAGAAATTTTACCAGCGATACAAAGGTACAGAAAGATCCCATTTTTATAAGACAACAACCCCAGAGGGTCTGAAAGCATTTTAAAGTTGTAACTCAAAACACAAGCAAAAATTCCATACACCCTGAATGGACCACACGTCTGGCTTTCTGAAAAATCAGTGTTCTTCACCACCCTGTGTTACCCCAATACTGAGATTTAAGTGGTATTAATGTAGGACAAATATCAACACTGAGCTGAGGTGCCAGTCTGGAGACAGAGTAAGACAACAAACTAAACTACATGCTAAAAATCCCATGCAAATAACATGTAAGAAGCCTTCCTCCCTCCCCATTCCCCAACACAACGGGTTAATTCTGCATTTTTTCAGAGGAAGGAATACCACAAAATGACCCTTTAAGTAACACAGCTCTTAAGAAACAGCAGATATATCCTGACAAAAATAAAACTCAAACAGACAATCTAAAAGTCTTCTGGCAAACACTCCACACAGTGGGCATCATCATGTTCACCATTGTTCCTGGGCTGTCAAAAGGCTTGGGGTTCGCAAGGGAGAGGAAAATGAACTCTTCCTACAAGATTAAACACAACACTGAAAACAAATGAAGAATCTAAGCCCAACTTCTTAAACAAAAAACAAAACAAAAAAAAAGAAAATTAGACACAAAAATTCCCACACATTAGAATCACTTGAACTGCTAAAGGCAATGAATGTTGAAAATCACATTTCTAGCTCAAGCCTCTGAGCAAACATCTACAGCTCTGGTGACAGGAAAAAAATTAACCTTGTCAGGATAGGCAATTCCTCTCCAGAAAATATATTTTTAGAAACCTCTACAGTTTAGTACAGGCTTTTAAGGGCAAAATAATATGTGAAGGATAGAGCAAGAAATATACAGTTCACTTCAGCAAGTGCAGGGGAAAAGCTAAGAATCCCTAACGAGACCGGCCAGATTCTCTCATACTAATAAACATAAGTTATTTGCCATCTATAAAGAGAAAACACAACTATGCTTCTCACACTTAGAAAATATCCCCAATTATAAGCCATGATAGGACCAGCTCCTCTACTGCGCAGTGACATGTACATAGCCTACAAAAAAAAAACCCAAAACCCAGACAAAAAACCAGCAAAACTAAAACCAACCTGACTAAAATTCAGGCTGTTACCTTGTCCCACAGCAGTAAAGCACAGGGGCCCAGTAATGCCTTTTAGAAGATTCTCAGACATTTATTTGCACCTATCACCTCTAAACCTCAGTAAAACTGTACTACATCAAGACTGCTGAAAAATACTACTTCTGCTTTGTCTCTCAGTCATCAAGTGACGCAGGCACAGAGTGGAGCATCACAAAAAGGCAAAAGGATTGATGCTGCTAAGGGACACAGGGTACTTCAAGGACCTGTGTCCATGATTTATTCATTTTTCTGCTGCAGACACACTGGGTGGAAGGCAGCACACCAACTTTCAATTACCCAGTGTTACTCCCTGGGAGGATTTATGGGAGCTGTCCATTTTGGAGTGCCCAGCTATTCTGATTTTAACATAAGGAAGACAGGAGCACTGTGGACCAACAAGCCTCAGGAAAATGAGAAAGAGCTTACTGCCTTTAAGAGCGAGCTGAGTGCACTTACACAAATGCCTAAATATGGATTTTAGAGCCTCAGTTCAGACATCCAGCTTTGAAAAATGCAGCAGCCGTGTCCCTCCTTTGTCCTCTTATTGAAGACTTTCAACAGAGGAGGAAAACAAAGAAAACTCCCCTCACCCAAAGCTGGTTAATCACCATATTACTTCTAGGTGGGTTCTGAACTTATTGTCATGCCTCTTGCACTGATGGTGATACTGCAATTGATATAAGAACAGCAAGAAGTGACAACCAACTGGGGGTTTTTTGGGTAAGAAATGGTTGGTCTTTGCTGAAATGAAAAGAATGGCACATAACCATGAGTAATCCTATGTTTTGGAACAAATTGACACTTTTTTCAAATAGTTAGAGAATGAGCTGCACAGCAGGATAGAGAGATCTGTTCTTGATCTTTCTGTTGATCCTTAACTAACTCAATGTATTAACACTCTGATAAAAGCTAAGTCAGCAATTCTTCCAACAAAGACAAGTCCAGAAGAGATGAAAGTGATCCCACAGCATGCAAAAAGTTACCTGCCTCAGCTAAGCCCTCCTGGTAAGGCTGCTACCAAACAGAACCAGTTGGCCAGAGCAGTCTTCACACAGCCCCAAGCATGTGCTGAAAAGCAGCCCTTTAGAGAAGATAACCCTCCGTCAATCAAAATTAAAACACAAAAAACCAAATATGAATCTAGGTGAGCTGTCCGTGGCCAAGAGTGTTATTTGTTTTGTTTTTTTTTATTCTTTTAAAGCCAAAGCACCAGTATCAGGCAGTAGACACAGGAAACATCACACTTCTGCTCTGGTTCCCCTCTCACTTAAGACATCTGGTTTAATTTTTCCATAGACTGCCGAAAGTCTGTCAGTTGTGCTATGAAAATTGTGTCTGAGCCACGACGAGTTTTTAACAGCTACCTGAGTATGCACCAGCAGCTTAGAACCTTTTTTAAATGGATGGACCATAAACACTTTTCCAGTATTTATGTTTCCATGCAAAAATCAGACTTCAGAGTCACAGAGTGCTTGCTGCTTTTGGTTCTCTCCAGCTGCTGGTGTTAACAGCTGCCGAGCCTGATTCAAATGACCTTTTTTCAGCTAACTCCTACTCCTTTGTCTGAAACAGATGAGGATGCAATACTGGTGGTAGCTCAGCCGTGGATGTGAGCAGACAGCACCCTTCAGCCTAGAAGCACTAATGAGCACCTAAGACTCAATGCCTCTTCAACTAACACAGTTTGAGGCAGGAGAGAACAGGAAACAGAGATAAGAAAGAGAAAAAAAAGTCCATAAATATCACTGCTTTCATGCTGACAGGTTTTTCCAGCAGTGGTCCCCTAAAGAAAATTTTGCAGGCCACCTTGTAAGTGAAAGAAAGTCACACTCACTGAAACTAAAAAACTAAAACTGCGTATGCGCCACCGCTGATCAGCGCCAGCTTCACAAATCGCTCCTTCCTGCGCCTGCCTGGCCTCAGCCCCTCACGTGCACACACGCTTCTGATCCTTTCCTAAAACCCATCCTTGAGCTCAGGCTGGGGCTGCAGAGCTTGGGGAATGCTCTGAAAATCCTAGGGACAAGATCACCTCATTAAACCCTTGGCAGAGTGCATCTTCTAGCCTCCAGCATCTCTTTTCTACCCTACTTCGTAAGTCTTTAAGTATGACTTGTATTTCTGTCAATGGTTATTCTTCTCTTTGGAGAGAAATAAATTGCTTAGTTTGGCAACCAAACAGCTAAGCCTTTAATAATTAATCTCTTCTCCCAAATAACTGCTTCTCAACAGACAAACAATAAAGCAAAGAAATATTTTCATGCTCTTATTTAATAAGTAAGAGCCTGTTCTGCATGCCAAAGCACAAAGCAGACAATGGGTTGTTATTGCACAAGCTTATCCCTAAGTTCTTCTGTATAATGGTTAATTCCTATTCCTTTTGTATTTTCACCCCTCCCTGCTTTGCAGCAGCAGGTCTGCCTGCCCATGCTGGTTTTGGCATTCAGCAGCATCCATTTTTAGTTTAAGAATGTAGCACCAAAGCGTTTCTTGCTCTGTCTGCCCGCTCTTGCCCTGCCGAGCTCCTGTTCTCCCCGCCCTGCCCTCCCAGCGGCACCCTTCCGCAAGTCCTTGGCTCTCCACCACACTGGCTGGCAATTACTGGCTCCAGATAGTAACCACAAATGTCATTACAAAGGAGGAGGAAGTGGAGGAGAGGATCACTTTTCTTTATTGTTTATTTAAGATTCTACACTCATTTAAAAGGAAGCAGTGCCCTCCTTCACCACTAGCTCAGCAAGGCAAGTATTTACCTCTTTAGAACACACTAATCAGCTGGAGATCAAGAAAAAACCACCAACGTGGGATGTCTGTACAAAAGCATAAGCAAGAATCAAAGGAGTGAGACTTAACTGAGGGACAGGGTAGGGGATTCTTATTCAGACTACTCAAAACTGTAGCCAAGTTTATTTCTATAATATCTACTCAAATGCCTAAAAGAAAGATTTCGGTAAGCCCTCATTGAATGCTTCCACAGAAAAACTTCAAATCTTAATTGAAGAAGCTTTCATTAACATTTAAAATAAAAAAAAAAAAAGAAAGTCAAAATAGTTTTTATTATCAATTTACTTCACAGGCTAAAGAAAAACAAGCAAGCAAACAAAACAAACATCCCAAAAACACACCCTTACATTCCCCACTCCCTTAAACAAAGGTTCAAAATTTTTTTCCCTCCACAGATAACAAGAGAAGACACCCTTTCCACCCACAGAAGTTACCTTATCTTTGGCACTCAACTGACCTAGTCTCAAGTTTTCAAATGCAAAATCATCTCAACGATTGCACACTCTCAACCATAGGTAAAAAAATCATCTTACTTTGGGCCAGCAGACATCACGGGGCAGCTCTCCTCTGTGCAGAAGTCCGTGATGGTTCCATAAAGCATATTGATCTGGTTGAAGAAGTCAACAGCTGCAAAGTGTTTAAAACATCAATTAACACTCTGCAGTGTAATGGCAACAAAAGCTTCCTACAGCCTTAACTATAAAACACACCCTGATGACGAGGGTCCTGTAGTGGTTTTTAATGAAAAAAAAAAACCAAACAAACAAACAACAAAAAACCTCACAGTTACTGCTTTTTAAGATGTATTATAAAGGAGATGCAGGATGCAGCCACCAACTTTCTAGAACAGCCTCTGACAAGAACTCTTGAGTTGTTTACTGCAGCAAAACCTTCATTTGAAAGAAAAAAAGGGATAGAGGAAGCTGAGTTAAGTACTTCTTTCTCTTCAAGTTTGGTGCATTTTATTAGAATCCCAAATTGTACTGGCAAGTCTGGAATAAAACAAAGATTTTCAGTGTATATTTTCCAACTAGAGAGAACTGTTACCCATTAGCTGATACTGACATCCCTCAGGCTTTGTATTCCAAAAGACTATCTTCTCAAAGAACATGTCACAGAATAGCCTGGGCTGGAAGGTACCTTCTGAGATCACCTTATCCAACCCCCCTGCCATCAGCAGGGACACCTTCCACTAGACCAGTTTGCTCAAAGCCTCATCCAACCTGGCCTTCAACACTTCCAGGGAGGAGCAGCCACAGCTTCTCTGGGCAACCTGGGCCAGGGTCTCACCACTCTCATAATAAAGAATTCCTTCCTTATATCTCATCTAAATTTCCCCTCTTCTAGTTATGTTACAGTTCTTCGGAACTGTGGTCGCTGGAACCAGGCTATAAAATCCACTTCATCTCCCCTCAATGAATGGCTGCCCTTGCATCTGGTGGGGAGGCACAGCACGTTACCAAGGTATTGATACCCAAGTTTATCTTTTCAAAGTGTCTTTCAGACAACGGATGTAATGAGTAAAAAAAATCAAAAAATAGCCAATATTAATGGCCAGGAAATAAAATTTCAAGTATGTTAAATTCTTATGACGAACTAAGTGCACAACATAGTGCCAGAATAACAGTTTTACTCTGTATTTACTCTGTTGCATCCCTTATCCTGCAACGGTCACTGTAAACTCTGCTTCCAGATGAACCCAAGCATATAGGAACTTTAGACTTGTGGGACAAGCTTCAGTGTCCTTACTCATCTATTTTTATGCATGGATGAAATTCAGCAATCCTATATAAACCCAAATCACGTGTGGTGGAGTTCAACTCCTTCTATTTAACCACATTGCTTGGCAAATTTCATTATTCCATCCACACACCCTTAGCCTGAAAGGAACCATATATCATATAAAAATAGATTTAATGCCCCAGTGCCCAGTCCAGACTACACCACTTACACTCCTAAGAGCACTGGGCTTGCCACCTCTGACAGCAGGAGCCTTCACAGCTACAAACTTCATTTATAAATCATATCTGCAGGGCTAGTCCTCAGGATGAGAAACCAGTGTGCACTCTATCTGTGCTCAGCACCACTTCAAACTGACTTTACCTCAGTGCTGCCTGCAACTCAACCTGCCAGTGACAAACTGTTTCTTTAGGGAGACAGATTTCAGGAATACTCAAATAAAAGCCCTTATCAGCAATACTGACAGTCCCATAATGTCACCAAATAGCCATGTGTTACTCAACTTAGTCTTCACGTGATAAACAAAGCTCTTCGTTTTGAAACAACAAGGAAAGGTTTTCCTGTGACCAGCCTCTGCAGTATTTAGTCACACGTTTGTCTTAACTTAAAAAAGAAGAGAGGAGGGTAAAAAGGAAGAGAGGAGGGTAAAAAGGAAGAGAGGAGGGTAAAAAGGAAGAGAGGAGGGTAAAAAGGAAGAGAGGAGGGTAAAAAGGAAGAGAGGAGGGTAAAAAGGAAGAGAGGAGGGTAAAAAGGAAGAGAGGAGGGTAAAAAAAAAGTTACCACTTTCAACACTGAATAGTCTCACACAACCAATCCGCAGGACACTGTGGAATTAACACCAGCAATACACTGCTCTCAATCCAGTGCCATGCCAAAGAGAAATCAGCACGTTACTGGGTAGCCTACCCAAATTTGTGTCTCTTGCTTAACTGTATGACAGGGATGTACAGTTTTGCTGTAAGGAAATGGAGACTGACATCCTAAACGTAACCACTGTCAAGTAATACTGCAAAAATAACTGAGAGCTGAAGGAAAGGGAGGGTTAAATACTGCAGCTGCCCTCAAGGATTTGTCCAGAGAATAAACACCAAGGAATGCAGGTACATCATGGCACCAAGCTGCAGCTACTGTTAACAGATGCAGGATACGAGCTACGACTGCATCAAACAACTTCCCAGGTTTCAAAAAAGGGAAATGAATAAAGAAGTGTGGCATGCACCCAGCACAACTCACTGTTGTGAGTATTAGTATTTTTTAGTATTAGTATTTTTTTCCCCTCTGCACAGCAAAAGCAAAAACAGCAAAACAACATTAAGCAAGATTGATTAAAAAAAGAAGTTAGAGAGGACAAGAACTCCTAAAGCTTGTTTGGGAGGGAGGAGGCGGCAGTTAACACCCAAGGCAGCAAGAAGTCGTTATACACAGCCCTTGTTTCTTAAGTGTACACAAGGACTGTTAATTAAGTTTCCATTCCCCGCTCCCAGTAGAAACCACAGCCCAACGTTTGCTTCAAGGCAAGCATGTTCACAAAACCCACACAGACTTCCAGGAGATGACTGATTGTTGTGAATCCCACACTTGTAAGTCTCAGAAGGCCATGAGAGACGCCGCTCCTGCGAAGCCAGCGGCGTGCGACCAACAAGAAAAACCCAAGAACCTCCTTTCCAACATGTGCAAAGCTGCACAGTATCTCTGCATATTTTCATTTCCTCTTTTTACTCATTGTTCTCAAGTTTCAAGGGCTGAGATTATTTTTTCCAAGTGCTTTTCTCCCTGAAGAAGCACACGCTGTCTGGTGTTCTATGATAAAGATACGGGCAAGATGTACTTCTGAAATTATATTTCAGTATATTTAAATCAAGATTTCAGAAGAAACTCAAAACAAACTCATTACACACTTCTCATCTTTTTTTATTTTGAAAACACACGTGAAAAAAAAAATCCACCTGTACATCAACTCATTACCATGAGACATCAGTAAGGTTAAGAGTTGAGCGAGAAGTAGAAGAGCACAGAACATTCCTTCCTGTGCTGTCATTGTTGTGAAGGGCAAAACCGATGACATTAAGTCACACATTTTATTTCCTTATGAGGTTACCTCAATCAACAGAAGGGGCTCACAGCTATCATTGACTGGTACTAGGTGAGGTAGAGGGATACTATAAATGAAGGGAGCACCTAATGAGTTAATTAATCACTTCTAGACAAAAAAAGTAAACATTAAAACCCCACTTGGTTGTAGGAGGCATGAAAGAGGAGCATTTCATTGCAGAATGCAGCTGTTACCAAAAGGCACCTCCCACTCTTTTGTCAAGTGCTTTGCTGACTTTTGCCACCCAGCTAATTTAGCAGTGAAGTCATTTGGGAGGAGAAAAAACACCACTGCCACACAGGAAGGAAGAGACATGGAGTAGAGGAACAACCAAAAGGGAAGCATGCCAGCAATACATGAAGCATCTTTAGTAATGCTTACTCATAAAAATGGGCTGGCTTTTTTTTTCTAGACAGTTTTGCAATACAGTGTGAATAACTATAAAGAATGGTGTCAGCAATTTCAACATTCCCTGGAAGCTGTGGCAATTCATCCAGCAGAGCACTGTGTGGCCACGACCCGGAAGGTTGAAGTCAGTATGACAGTTTCATTTCCCAAATATGTCAAAGAGCAAGAAGAAACAGAAAGAGTCACGTAAACAATTAGAAGACATTTATCTTGAGCTTAATTTTATGTGCCGTGCACAGTCAATACCATACAATCATGGAAGCATGCCAAGCCAAAGACACAAAAGAGGAGGAAGTACCCAGACAGGGCACAGAGTCTGTGGCAGCCAAAACTCTGCATGGGCTGCAGAGCATGACAGGTCTTGGGTTAATCCATTCCTTAAGAGCAGAAGGCAGGCAGCAAATTCATGCAACAGGGAGAGGAAGGAGGAGGAAACATGGCCAAGCCATCAGAAAACACTAATCTGGGCATCATTGTTTGGCCTGACCTAGCATGGAAGGAGAGAGCTAGGACAAACAGCTTTAGAGGAAATTAAAATAATGACATCAGAGACTTATTAAAGCAAAAGCTCACAACTTGGTAGAAAGAAAAGGAAGGAACTAACTTCAGGAAAATTACAAAGTTGGGTCTCTGGGTTTGTTACAAGCAAAAGTAAAGCCAGGCCACACACGTGACCGCAGTCTTTAACACGTTTTAAACCTGTCCCTCCCACTTAACTCCATTAAGGTTTTATGCTTAGACTGTCCCATTGGGTAACAACCCCCTCTGAAAAAGAGCCGCTAGAACGGCACTGACAGGCTACTTTCTAAAAACAGCAGTGACATTTCTCCTTCACAACTTGTTTGTGAGCAAGTGCTCAGACATTAACAAAATAATTCTTATTCTTAGGGGTGAACAGGAACATATTTTTGGCACAAGATTAAGCAGTTTTTGCCTTGCTGACTTGCTCTGCGTTTGTCAGCTCTAAATGATACAACACTCACCTCTCCCAACTGCAGCAGAATGATGCACGCAGGACAGGAGAGCCTATCCCACTAGAAAGGAGGGCACAGATGTCCTCCCACAAGCATCAACCCACATTCAACACCCCCCCTTAAGAAAAAAGGTCAGTCGACTTACTGTTAACTGCAACCCACTCATTCAAGTCTTCACCCTCTGGAAGCATAACGGCCATGCGGAGATTACCGCTTCCAAGCGTGGCTTCGGCATGTTTTAGCAGCTCATACTGGTGAGACCCCTCTGGAATATTCTTCTTTGGTTTGAAGGTTTTGGAAGAGCGACTACCACTGCAAAAGACAGAGGAAATATTTAGAGAACTAGTGGAAAGGGAAGGGAAAAAGAAAGGAGTAGACAAATCACACACAGGATTAACACTAAATCTTTCCCCACTCTTAAAATTTCATGTTGAAAAAGGGTATTTAGTAAAAACCAGGACTCAAGAGTAACACGTGCTTTGACTTATTGTTTTAAACAAATAAATGATTCTCCACTACCCTGCCTTCTCATCTGTTCACCACACTGCTAAGACAGCTGGATAATCAGGAACACCCAGACTCCCTTCCCTTTCTCAGCAAATTGGCTCTTGGTCAAGACAAGACCAAAGCTATTTTCTTCCCCAGAATTTGGACAGCCACGTATCAAGGCTAGCAGCCTAGCCAAATAGAAACCTTCTTTACTCTGAACAGTCATCAAGGTTGTCATGGTAATTGAAGATACTGTTTATTTAACAGAAAAACCCATGTTCTTTCTCTAACATCCACCTTCACGAGACACAAAATGTCATCAGACCTGCACAAGTCTAATGAGAAGGTAGGGACAGTCTGTTCAGACCTCTGTCTTTTCACATCAAGGATCATGTGTTAAGCAGTTACTATCAATTCCTCCAAAACAAGCTGCTGTTGTTTCAGAAAGTGTCCTTTCTGCAGGCCTAGCTGACTCAAAAAAAAATTACAGTTGGACTCCATGAGCTTAAAGGTCTTTTCCAACCACTACGATTCTATGATTCTCAAATATTACCTTAGCTAACAGCATAAAATAACTTTCCTGGTATCTAGTATTGTTGAGGAACTTAGTGTTTAAAATACAGCTGCTCAAAAATACAGTAACAATTTAGAGGAAGACTGATACAACACCACAGTTTCCACAAACTTTTTCTGTCAATTCTCCCCTGGTTTCACAACATACAGACCTATCCAGTTAGGAAAGAAAGAAGGGTGACAACTTTTAAAACTCATGTAAATCATTTTGTTACCTATAATTTTATTTGAAAAAAACATTGACTGACTTAGAAAAAAGTTTAAGACATTTGAATTTTACATGATGGCAGTAAGCCTGAATGGCACATTAACGCCTCACATGTCAGAAATACGGCGTGTACAATTAAATATTTGCAGAAATGTGTCAAATGAGACAATATTTGTGAATGCTTTCGTGTATGAGCTCAGTAAAGATTTCTGTCAGAAAGGGAAATCAGCTCTGCATTCCAGTGAAAGAAAGCAGTGAAACCTAGACAGCAGATTTTTCATTACTTGAGTAAAAACGTTATAAATTCAAGTATTATGCAGTTCTTGTTTCTTTATATAGAAGACTTGGGCATTTTTTTCACCATCTCTCTCTACAGGACAGAAGAGAAATTTTCCTTAGTGGGGCACAAGGGTTCTCCCCAGCTCACTAAATAGCTAAGCTGCATGTTTGAACATGCAAGGCTTGTTGCTTATCCTTGGGGCAATGCTAGGGTAGCTACAGCGTCACGCAGAAGCCCTCTAAAAACCTTCATTCTGCGCCTCCTTTTCCCCACCACATCACACTGCAGCCAGCAGCAGAAAATTAACAGCGAAGATCACTGGTTTCTACAATCCTGAACACAAACAGCTCTAGGAGAGACACCATTGCACACCAAAGAACACCATTTTGTCCTTTCAAAAACACATAATGACGGGTGACTGCGAACATGTCACTCGCCAAGCGTGTGAGAAAACTGCCCACAGTTCATCAAGGCTCACTTGAGACCTAAACAAGAGCAATGGATGAAGAAAACATACTGAAACTGGAGATAGAAATAATGAGTTCCCCAAATTCTTTTGGGCAGGTGACAACATCTTTGCAGGTGCATCTTTGGGTATTGAACAGATCCCACAAGTCTGGCTGGTTAGAGATTTGCCTGGTCCCGGTCCTACTCCGACTCTTCCTCGCCACAAAGGAGTGGCAGCATCCTCCCCCTGGTCCCATCAGCCTCCAAAGTGATCCTGTTTTCTAACCCTCATAAAGAAGCACTTGGCTGGACTGACAGGGATCGTGGGATGTTACAGCTCAACAGGCCACGAACACTGACACAGGCACCAGAACAATACTAATGCAGTCAGCTACCACACACAGCCAAGAGCCAGCAGCAGGAAGAAGAAACACATGGCTCCCCTATATTCTATTGCAGGACGCTTCTAACATGCACCCAGTCATTTGCATTTCACCCTAAGCAAGGATACCAGATTCAAATCTTAAGTAAAATAATTGCCTCCCAGTGGGAGTGAAAAGCTTTTGTGGCTCAGGGAGTTCCCTTCACCTCCCACCCCTCCAGTCACCTGCATTTGTTGCCAGGACAGGTTCAAACCAACTCTGAAGCAAAAGCAACTGGAAAAAAAAAAAACAAAAACCCAAACCAAACCACCAAAGAAAAAACCCAAATATTTTATTTTCATGGACTACTTAAGAGACCCAAGTTTTTCTCGTCAGGAACACACCCACTTTAGAACCACTAAGCCAACATGGGGTAAAAATACAACTTAAAACACGTGGTAATTGCTTTGGTGTACAGGGCTGAAGCAAAGTCACATTCACAACAAACTGAAGAGCAGGAGAGGCTGGTATCTTCATCTTTCCACGCGTGTCAGTGTTAGCAGAAGAAAACCAGCACATGCTAAACACAAGCACAGTGCTTCCTAACTTGCTCACGAGATTTTGTTCTCACTCCATCATAACTAGACAACAAGGGAAACCAACAGCTAATACTTAGATAAAAAGCAAACCAAAGGTTTCCACAGACTGACTCACCACTGCAAAGCTCAGGTCATTCATTCATTCATGATCAATGAGAAAGGAAAATTAAGAGATTCCTCCCCCTGCTTACGTACAATACGCATTTCCTATAACTTCAGTCCTCTTTCCACCATGTTTCCAAACCTAAGGTACATCAGCTTCTCTTTTGCAATGCTGTCACTTTCATACAATGATGCAGATTGAAAAACATCCCCTGCTCTACGTGAGCTGATGCAGTTGCTGGAAGCAAGATCTACAAGCTCATTATAGAGACTCCTGCCGGGTGCGTGGAGCTCCCCAAGTACAATGAGGAGAGCTCTACCCAGATGGAGGGAGTGCTTACCAAGAGAGATCACAAAGGGCAGCAGCCCACTCACAGCTCCGGCAGAAAAATCTTTGTTCAGGAGGAGCAGATGGTATAGAAACACAGGAAGCAGTAACTGGAAAAAGGTCATGAAATAACTAAATCAAGAAACTGTTTGGATTTCAGCAAGAAGGGTAAGCCAACAAAGGGATGAGGGTTCAAGAAAAATGGATAAGACAAGCACGGTGAAAAAACTCCCTAAATAAAATAGTTTATTTTGAGAAAACTCTGGGTAGAAATTCATACCATATCCACTCCAGATCATGGGCTTGCCATGAAACAAACCAAGTCACTGCAGATCTGTGGAATACCCAACAGAGATCTTCTATGGTCAATCAAGCAGAGAACACACAACACAATGGAGAAATCATTAAGTATCACTTAATCCCTGCTACTCCCTTCCCCAAAACAGAGGGGTTTTTCCCATAAGCTGGCAAAAGCTGTAACAACAAAATATGCAATGATTTGGTCTCACCAACTACTCTAAATAAACCATTCGATATTTGCCTCCAGTACCTTTCTGATCACCACTTCTCAAATTCAGCACAGCCATCCCAAGACAGCAGGAAACGGTCTCACACAAAAGGTAGGCAGGCAGGCAGGCATCCAAAAGGAAAAGTAGTTGGGATAAATGCAGGCTGTGCTATGGAAATATCTGCAATTTGGGCAATAAATTCTCACAACCCCATGCATTGATGCAGTTCACCAGATGTGAAGCCAGTTAACTGCAAACATGGTCACACACTCCTTGATACAAACAAAAGTTCAGGGACTCAACAACCTAATACAGCTTCTCTAAGCCCAAACCCTTAAAGGACACGTTTGCTCTTGGGGATTCTAGTTGTATATGTTGCTGCAAACATTATTTCAACCACCTTATCAGTTCAGAAGCTCTCCTATTATTTAACCAACAAACTTCCTCATTTATTTATGCCTTAGTACCATCAGTTAACTACCTCTTCAAATGGTTATCTTACTAAGTAACCCTGCCTCCTCCCTAAAATCTGACCACAGCAGTAGCATATTCGTGCTATCCTACATTATGATTCCCAACACTGAGCTGAAGGCATCTTAAAAAAACCAAGAAAACCCAAAAACCACACAAACAAGTAAATAACAGCGAAAAAAAAAATTATGTCAATCACATAATCAATCACCCCAACACATGACTTATCCTCCCTTCAGCTCCTACATCCAACATTTCTAGCAAATTATGCCCTTCTATTTTTATAGGTAAGTACAGCTACAGCAGTGCCAGATGCAGTTTGACCCAGCACTCAATCAGGAAATGTGTTTCAAGCAATTGACTCACGGAGCCAGGATGAGTCTGGAAGCCTGGCTAGGAAGCCACATCTCTGAGCCACAAGAAGCACTTCTCACTGCCAGAAGCCCACATGCCACTTGGGCTCACAAAGACGTCACAGCTTGCTTGTAAGCAGGAACACCAAACTCCCTCCAGAGCTGTAATTTTGTCTAGTCATCTGCTGACAGGGAGGGTTGTTAACGATGCAGATTCTGCAGGATGTTCTGTCTTCGGTTGGCAAGATGATGTTTCCAGAAGAAAGGAAAATCTTCAGGCATCCTGTTTATACCACACTCACCAAGCTGCCCCAACAGCCCACATCAGCTTCAAATGCAGCACTGGCAGATCTTTTACAGCCAAAGCAGCTAAATCTCCAGCATAAACTCGATACACCTTCCTGCTAGCAAAGGAGCAGCTTAAACTTCCACGATCCTACAAGAAGCACTTTGGTTGGCCTGGCTTAGACCTCCTCACACCCAACTCACCTATCTGTACACTGGCGTCTGTCAGCGGAGCTTTCTATCAAGTCTGCTGCATATCCAGGGAAACCTGAATTAAACCAGAAAAGTTCAGGCTCCTTATGCATAAAACTTAAGACTTGACAGCTTGTTCTTATCACAGAACTAACCTCAAGCTCTTGCCTACTCTTCTGTCTAACACAGCTCAAACTGAGAAGCTGAAAACCTTCCCCTGAATCTAGTGTGCTTCACAATCAGACACACGGATGCAGATGGAAGCACAGCTCCCACCTCTACCCAGGCTGCCAACCTTTCCAATTTGCAGCAGCACCACAGCCTAAACCACTAAAATACTGACAGTGCTCCAAAATCTTCCTCAAATTCCTTCTGAGTAAGCAAAACCAGATCAAGTTACACCATAATTCATCACAACATCTTAAATTGATGCAGTACTTAAAAAATAAACAATTACTAAGTCATTGGCAAAATGGAAGAAGAGGAGATGCCACCCTGGAGAAGATGTGAAAATCTGAAAACCCTTTTTTTTTTCCCCCTGCACACCTACTTACACATCACATACCAAGCTGAGATGTTTTACAAGAAATTAAGATCGTATTTTAAAATATCACAAGCATTCAACTTCCGTGGGACGTGCAGACAGCACTGCTCCTCCCATCTGTTTCAGGCTACCTGTGGGCTCAAGGATTACCGTAAATCATTTCATACAGGGCTCATCAGCAGACTGTTTTATCCAACACTGGAAAGGACAGAAACTTGCCCTGGGGAAAAATAAATAGAAAACACTCCAGTGACACCATTTTCAGGATGCACCTGCCACCTATATTCTTCTAACTGGTACATAATGCTGAGAGCACAGGATACCATCTTTCCTAGGGGGAACGTGTGAGTAACTAACTTCTACAAGTACACCTCTACCCCTCAGTGTGTCTCAAAAGCCTTCACCACCATAGTACAAATGAAATAAGGTATTCAAAATATTTGGAAGTGCTCCAGAGATTTTGAACAAGCCAAACTCAAGACAGTACACAGAACATTTACCTGGGGCATGGAAACTTTTCATATTTCAACTCCTGCTTTTCCATCTTCAAAGGCTTTGCAAGCATTAATTAATCCTCACAAAGTATCTTTGAAGTAGGCATCATGAGCATCTTGTTAAACACAGGGAAACTGAGGCAGTGACTCATTGCCAAAGGCCAACGAGTAAATTTAACAGAGAAATCCCCAAGTTTTAATTCTGTACCTCCTTCCTCATGCTGCGCCTCTTTTTAAACCCCCATACACAGAAACACTGTCAGGCCAGAACCAAATTCCAGAAAAGCAAACATTTCAAACCTTCCAACAATAACATGGGGCTTCAAATGATAACATCCTGCTAAGAATAGACACATCAGAGGATGATCATGTTAGTTCCCAATAGCCAACATATCAACATAGAAATGAAAACAACAGCTCAAGATACTTTTTGGAAATCAAATCAATAGTTAGAGCATTTAAACCCATTTTCCCTGTGAGAATCACAGCGTCAGAAGGACAGCTGGTAAAATTAAGTTGTACGTGTTCAAAATCTGCACTGACAAGATTTAACTTGAGCATTTCTGTTTATGAAACCGAGTAGTCACAACATCTCTGTTCTGAAAAGAGAGAGCGTGCGAGCTAGGCATTACTTTCTTCAGATCTTAAAAAACCAAAAAGTCAATTATTTTCCAGGCAAATTCCCACTCATTAAAATAAGCCTGTCTCAGTCAGTTCATTTTCATGTGGAGGTAACAAATTCAATCTAAAAACTGAGGTAGCAAGCATCCTACAACCTGGCATTCCTTTGACATACCACCAGGCTGCAGATCTAAAGACAAACAAGGTAATCACCAACTTAGGATGGAGAAAGATGGCCAAGAGAGCTTCAATCCCATGCTCAGAGGTTCCAGATGCAATGAACCAGAGAAACGAGTGCTTCTGCCAGACTCTGGGGCAGGATGAGAAACCTCAGAGCCCAGTTATTCAAGACCTATAGACAATTTTGCAAATGCTGTTCCACTCCCTCATGTTACTTCCATGAGGATGGGAAGAAGGTTAATGGTTTGCAATGAGACGTGGTGCTTTCAGTCCAGCCAATTTGAATTCAGAAGAGTGAAGTGCTCCAGGACAGTACAGTACTGGGTTACAGCTCAGTGTTCAGAGGTACCTGAAGGCTTTTCAACACAATCCAAGAATTAAAAGCCAACAAGCACACAAGCCAATAGCTCTCACCCTGAAAAACATCCCTCATGTAAATTCTTCAGCTACAGTCACTGCATTATTCTGAACGCTAATAAAAGCTACACATGTCTAAAGAGCACTCCCATCCAACAAAAAGCAATTTTCACAAACATTAAGCTGTAAAAAGCATAACTCTCCTCACACAGAGGGAAACACAGACTCTGTCAAGATCACCAAGCAAACTGAAGCAGCCCATCTAGGAAAGAGTTAAGAGCTGCCAACTCCTTACACAACAGAGCTGCTCTCACAAAAGGTACCGCAGTGGTTCCAAAGCAATTCCAGGCTCAGGGTTTTTGTTTTACTTTGGATTTTTGGTTTGGTTTTTTTTTTTTTTTTTAAGGAAGAATCAGGTGCACTGACTTGAAAAATTTCCATAGACACAGGGCCATTCCTATACAAACAGAATACATGTTGTGTGTTGTTTATACGCTCTATTGTAGGAAACAGTAGCTGAAAATACTTTGATCAAAGGCACACAGCTGAAGCTTCCCAGTGTATAAGAATAACCTAAATTGTTTACTACACCTAGAGAATATCCAAGTCAAAAACGGTGAAAGTAAGGGCTCCTGAGAAATTATTCTTCCCAAAGCCAACACTGCACTTGGTAACCAAGAGGCTTTGTGCTTTACAAGAATGTCTTTGTGTGATGAACTCACCTATCGCCTGCCCAAGCCACAGACAGTTGCCAAGGCTACACGAGACCAGTGCCACGCTTTATAACCCCAGGATTTGGTACTTCTTCCCACACTTCAGCATGCTCCTTCTACAGCACTGTCACTAGGAAAGCTGTGTGGAGCATCTCCAGGATAAGTACTCCATTCTGTCAAAGTAACAGTCCTGAAAGGTCCCCTCAGTTCCTCAGGTCCCCTCCTCACAGCAGCGCTCCTGCTGAGCACGGCCAAGCTGACGACAGCAGCTGCTTCCCCACAGATCTCCATGGTGGTTTTTTCCCCCCCCAAAAGCATCAGGTCCCTCAGTTAAGCTGCTTAACAAGAAATTCAGATTTAAAAGTAAGTAAATAAATCTCAAGGTAACAGATATAAACCACGACTTCCCACAAAAGGCAGAGGGTCCTTTCAGAAGAGAAAGGAAGGAAAAAGCTTCGTTTCAAACACCATTTTTTAAAGTACTGAACACCACACTTTAAAAAAAAAGCCACCAGCAAACAAGAATCAAAAAGTTTCCTCACCTGAAAAAAAAGTAGCACAGACCAGGGGAATTTAAAACAATGTCCTTCTCTTTCAGCACATGGAGTTGACAACAATGGCAATACAATACAGGTTACCCCTAAAAGATCTTGTTCAGATGTCTGAAAAATGAATAAATACAAATCCAGACAAACCCCAAATCCCACTTTTTTCTTTTCAGTGAAACACTTATGCATCCTTCCTCATCCCACCCTTTTTCTTTGCTACACCATCGAGTAAGTTGAATTTTCTCTAGGCTTTTCAATCCAAACATGCTTCTCAAGGGATGTAGTGACCGTTACCATTATAACTGAGTGCCTCCTTCTACCAAAGTACTCGCAGGTATTTTCATGAGATTTTTAATCCTCTATCCATCAAGACAGGGGAAAAAAAATCTGGCTTCCCCTTGTTCGAAAAATAGTGTTCTTCACAGATAGAAGTTCAACACAGAACTTATGCATGGAGAGGAGGCAGACAAAAGAAGTCATCATCTCACCAACAGCTCTTAAAAAATACCAGTAGCATTATACTCAAGACTCTACATGTTAGAAGAGCAGAAGTTTATCAGATGATTCACATCCAGCAAGGAGAAAAGTTATTTAAGGTAGCCTTAAGGAATGCTTTTGCTTTTGCTTGTCCCAACCATCACCCAGTGTTGAAAGCTGTCATAACACATACATGTCCACATTCTTAAAATACATCTTTCTCTTCTATACATACACAATTTAGAGTCAGGGAAACGAAGCAAATGCGGGATCCATCCAGCAGAACTCAGATGCTCTTAGTGCACCAGAACACAAGCTGAAGACAAACTGTTGCTGGCTGAGCTGTGGCAAGGGGACAGGTGACCCATCCTTGGAAACTGGCCACTTAACTCTTCCCTCTGCTTGCCCTGCAGCAGCACACTCGTGCCAAACCCACAAAGACCGTTTCCTAGCCCAGCCAGGCACCTACGCTTCTCCACATCCCTCCGCCTCTGTTTTTTCCATCGAAGAGCTCAGAATGTGCCTGTAAACAAGGGGGAGGTGTTATGCTACCACACTGATGTCTGCTACAACCCCACCCAATGGTGTTCCTGCCATTCACCCTGTGGGATGCAACCCTTCTCCCAAATCATCACATCTCCTAACGCAAAGAGCGAGCAAGTCCCCAGAACGCCATCTCCTAACCAGCACATCATCATCGGTTTGCTGTGCTCACACACAAAATAAACTCCCTTGTTTCATTTACGACATCTTCATTTAATACACTTTCATCTCCTGGAAAATCCTCAAAATAAACAAAGAAGGTCACAGTTGCTCTCAGTGAATACTACCAGAGCTCTGGCTGAGCACTCAAAAACACAATTAAACTAATTCCCAGAGCAGCCAAGGGTTGCGGAAGTGACTCAACTTCTCCAGCCTTGTCCTTTGTAGGACTAACAGCCTTGCTGGGGAACGCGAGGAGAGGGACAGGCCAGCCACACAAAAAGGAGGAGCCATCAGAGGAAAAACTGAGATGAACAAGGGGAAGAAGTAGACACCTGCAGCCTCCAAAAAGGCTCACTCTCCATGTTTTATGAATGTCCCAAGTTTCTCCATAGATTTCTTCAAAGGCTTTAAGATGACCAAATACCACCTGAAACAAGTTTTCACTCCAATTTGCAAGAAAGAGGCTTTTAGTAGAGACTCAAATATCTCCACGTGTTCTCCTCTGACATCCATTTGAAATCTTGTTACATGAGAAGAATCAAGATTATCCAGAATATTTTGCTGCACGCTCCCAGGCATCCCCTGACTACCTGGAGGCAAAGACAATGATGTCTTCACTCACAGAATTTCAGTCTTATTACAAACAACAGTCAGACTTTTCAGAAAGCTGAGGACTGGTCTTGGCTGTGTTCTTTCAATCAGATCTAGGTTCCTCAACTATTTTAACACTAACATTTACTGTGTACATACACACACATTATGGAATTGTAGGGCATAATCAAAACCAGGTTTATTTCTGTAGATTCTAATGTCCTAATATTCATGTACTACTTTAAAAGAGCAGGCTACGAGCAGCTTTGAAGAAGGCAAACACAAAGTATTCCTTCCCCTCTAACTGCTTTGTCTTTTCCTATGGACCACTGAGATGGAGCTCAGGATCTTGACCAGCCACTAATCAAGCTCTCCGCAAACTAAACAGCACTGTTTTCTTACTAATGTTCTCCTTCTTTTCTCAGGAAACTCTTATTTCTGTCAATTAGCATTAGCTCTCTTAAAAGGGAGGGCACAGCATGAATTCAAACAGAAGTTAGAACTTGTTACACTCAGTTATGCTTCAAAGTTTAGTTTACACAGAGGTTCAAACCTCAGTTTACTGCGTGAATGTATCTAACAATTCACTTGGTAGACGTAACTACACTTCTTTTGGAAAACCCACCCTTTCCCATACACAAAACCTATCACTAAAAAGCCATTTTCTTTTGAAGAAAGAGGACTCCATCAAGCTGTAGACTACTGAAAGAAGCTGAAAGGTTGCTGAAAAGTATGTTGTACATCCCCTGTAGCAAGGATGGCTGAAAAAGAACTCACACCATGGAGAATCAAGTTCTGCCCCGTGGTCAGCAAACTCAGAAACAACAAAGTTGAACGCCTGCGACAGAAAATTAGGTAACATGTATGAACAAAAGCATACCTACATGCTCCATACCCTTCAAAACCTGCAGAAAGACTCAACCCTGAGAAATCTGCAGTCCAAACCATCTCAGGTGGTCTCCCTCTAATTTGTAACACGCATAATGAAGACACAGACCCAAGAGCAAATGCAGGAAGAACAACATTTGTGTATTTTTGAGAAATTCTTCAAACCTGTCACTCGGATGTTTCCAAGAATACGTTATGTTCTAAAGGAAAACAGTTACACAGAGGGAAAATGCTTGGTAACACATGTGGGAGTGAGGATGACACAGCACATGTCATGCAGACTCATGGAAAGAGGAAAAGCAGCATTAGACAACTCAAACATCATGCAGAATAGAAGGGAAGAGAAATTTGGGGGGGGTTCGGGTTTGGTTTTTTTCTGTTATAAGAAGAAAGCAATTGAACACTAAAGTCCTGGCCTGGCAGTCAGAGTGAACACCAACAAGAGAGGGAAACAAATCAACCACAGAATATGAGCATCCACAGATGATCAGAAATCAAAACTACAAAGTACCATTATGAATGCCACTAAGCAAATTATAAAAGAAATAGAAGGAAATATATAAAGCTACAAGTCTTGGTCATTTCATTCAATAACACATCTAATTGTGTTTAAAAAAAAAAGATAGTGGAAACATTAATAAAGAGAAAATGTTTACTAAACTATTTAAGGAGGCATGGAGGATTTCAAGATCTTTCCACACGTAGCTGGAAACATCATGAAGTGGTCTGGAGAGCTCCAGCTTGCCTGGGCAGCCTTGCACATTGCCAGTCTCATACAGCATCATCTGGCTTGTGGGGCAGGAGGAAAGGGGAGGGGTGTGGTCTGTCAAATAAATAAAGCAGGTGATTGACATTATTTGCCTAACTATGATTTCTTTACTGTAGTACTTCTTTGATTTGGTAAAACAAGGACACAAGTGTCCCATACAAAAGCTACACACTACTTTCCATAGCAAACTATTCCTCTTGCTGCAGAGATTTTCTTATATTCAGCTAAATTCTCTTTGTATCTGGGTATTATTAATGCCCTCTGCATCCTAAACTCTATCTGCTGGTAACAGTCACACCCTTTAAACACATTTAAGAAAGTAGGAAGCAGAGCTTTTCAGAGAGCGATCTTACAAGCCGCTGAGGATGATAAATTGCAGCAATAAAAGCTTGGCTCTCGTATCAAATTAGATCCTTACTTATACACCAAATATAGTGCTTGGAGAACTGTCTCAGAACATGGATGGGTTCCCAAAATGCTGATCAGGGCTTTTGAAAACCAGTGCTTTATGAATGACTAAAGCAAATATTAGTCACACAAGCTAAGAAATCACAGCATGGAACTTGAGGGAGAGGGAAAGACTAACTACACAGTTTAAGACTGTCTTCAATCCTTTTAAAACATAATAAAAAGAACAAATCTGTTATAATGTGTTTAGGAAAAAAAGGCAAAGTTAAAAAAGGAGAAACTAAACGGAATTTGAACAGGCGAGAAGTCACTTTAGCACTTTATAAAAGGCTGTCTTTTATTTTAACCCCCACACA